CTCCTCCTCCTCCTCCTCCTCCTCCTCCTCCTCCTCCTCCTCCTCTCCCCGAGGGGCGCAGTCCGAGAGCGGCCTCAGCTTGGGGGACAACAAGTGGCATAAACATAAAACATCTCGGAGGTCCGGGCGGATCTCTCGGGTAGGGAGATTCGAGCGTGCGATCGTTATGTAAGCAGTGATATCGACATATGGGTAACGATTGTGATTTCGTGATGTTAAGATGTATGTTCGTGCGCACGCAGAATGGGATCGAAGCACACACCGATGTGCGTGACGGTGCCGGCATACGTACGACTTCCACATAGACATTGTGGTATCGATCGATCGGCACACCGATAGAGGTGAATCGATGTCCACGTTGTCCCGATGGTTGTCCCGTCATGGGTCCCATTGCCGAACCTCCTTGTCGGCCCTGGCTGGTCTTATAGGTAGTTGTATGTATACACACATATGTATATATTTGTGTAAACATATATACATGTGTGTATCACACTTCCCAGGCTGTGTGCTTGCACTTAGGGGTATGTGCTTCGGCTGTTTAAATAAACTGCCACTCCGTGCCACTTCGTGGGCGCCCCGTGCGTTGGGCCGGTTCGCCGAGGTTGAGCAAAGTTCCCGCCCCGTGCCACCTCGTTGGCGCCTCGTGGCCTCCTCGTGCGCTGGGTGGCTCGTCGAGGTGGCGCCGCGTTACCGCCTGTGTTACCTCGTGGGCGCCTCGTGGGCGCCCCGTGCTCTGGGGGGGCTCGCAGAGGTGGCGCCACGTCACCGCCCGTGCCACCTCGTCGGCGTCTCGTTGGCGCCCCGTGCTCTGAGCGTTCGCCACACAGCTTACACAGCATAGCTTGCATCACATAGCTTGCAGCCATAGCTCGGCCCTCTGGCTCACACTGCGTAGCTTGCACTACGTATACACACACACGCACGCACGCACGCACGCACGCACGCACGCAAGCGCACGCAGGCACACACGCGCGCGCGCACGCGCGCAAACGCACGCACGCACGCACGCACGCACCCTCGCACCTACGCCCCCACGCACCCCCCGGCCCCCCCCCACACACACACACGCACACACACAAACAAACAAACAAACACACACACAAAACACACACACACACGCGCGCGCACGCACGCACTCACGCACGCACGCACGCACAGCCACATAGACACACACACACGCACGCACGCACGCACGCACGCACGCACGCACGCACGCACACACAAACACATACACACACATTCACACACACATTCACACACACACACGCACGCACGCACGCACGCACGCACGCACGCACGCACACAGACACAGACACAGACACAGACACAGACACAGACACACACACACACACACACGCACACGCACACGCACACGCACACGCACACGCACACGCACACGCACACACACACGCACACGCACACGCACACACACACACATATATACACACATACACACATACACACATACACACATACACACACAGTGGCCCTTCCTAATATCTCTTTTTCGGTGCTGCAGGCCTACGTGGATGACAAAACTGCTGCAGTGTCGGCGCAGGTCACCCAGCTGCAAGCTGAACTCGCCAGAGCGGTCGAGGCTTCGCTCAGCCGTCGGCTGCCGCCTAAGCTCGAGGAAATGAAGTCACACATTCTGGACGCTGCCAGCCTATCTTTGCAGTCTCCTTTGGACACTCTGAAGCAGGAGCTGTGCGACAGTTTCACGACTCATCAGCGATCTCTGGGCGACCAATGTCTGTCTGCAGTGAGTGCCGCTTCTGCGAAGATTCTAGACACACTGGAGAGGAAGGTCCAGGCTCTTGAGACCAAATTTGGGAATGTGGCGCCTCAAGGTCCCTGGAGTGACCGGGTCAAGGGCGATGGCCCCGTGTCCCTTCCCGAGTGCCAGGGCGACCATTTCCAGGTGGGTGACTTGGTGCGCCCGCACAGCCTCGCTACGTCGGCTCTGAATGGGCTGGTGGGCTGCGTCCGTGGCTTCGTCGGAGAGAGGGTTCAGGTGGAGTTCTTAGGTATCGACGGCTGCAAGCTGATTAAACCAGCCTTCCTGGTCGCAGATTCGGCGGAGGAGCCGAGGACATGCGAGAACCCATGCGGCCAGGGAGGCTCGACATCTTCTTTGTCGTCTTCGACGGCTTCCTCTTCTACGACTTCTGAGCTGGCTGCTGCCGTGCTCCGACCCCGCTAAGATGAACAGACCCTTGGTGTACGAGTGACACACATACACACACATACACACATACACACACAGACACACACACATACACACATACACACATACACACATACACACATACACATACACACACATACACATACACACACATACACACATACACATACACATACACATACACATACACATACACGTACACATACACATACACATACACATACACATACACATACACATACACATACACATACACATACACATACATATACACATACACATACACATACACATACGCATACACGCGCACACACGCGCACACACGCGCACACACGCGCACACACGCGCACACACGCGCACACACGCGCACACACGCGCGCACACGCGCGCACACGCGCACACGCGCACACGCGCACACGCGCACACGCGCACACGCACACGCACACGCACACGCACACGCACACGCACACGCACACGCACACGCACACGCACACGCACACGCACACGCACACGCACACCACACGCACACGCACACGCACACGCACACGCACGCGCACGCGCACGCGCACGCGCACACCGCACACTCACACGCACACACACCGCACACGCACACGCACACGCCACGCACACGCACCGCGCACACACGCCACACACCACACGCTCACACCACCCACACGCGCACGCACGCACGCACGCACGCACGCACGCACGCACGCACGCACGCACGCACGCACGCACGCACGCACGCACGCACGCACGCCGCACGCACGCACGCACGCACGCACGCACGCACGCACGCACGCACGCACGCACGCACGCACGCACGCACGCACGCACACGCGCGCGCGCGCACATACGCACACACGCACACACGCACACAAGCTCACACGCTCACGCACACACGCACACAGGCACATAAGCACACGCGCACACGCGCACGCACGCACGCACGCACGAAGGCACGAAGGCACACGCGCACGCACGCACGCGCGCGCGCGCACGCACGCACGCACGCATGCACACTTACCCATATGATTTTCATCGGCTATCGGTATCTCTTGATCCGTTCCGCCAGAAACCTGGACTGGTGGCGCCTGCCTCGACGCTGGGGTCGTGGGATGCCTCCAATGGGTGGGTCCTGCCCCTGCGGGGCCCCTGCCGCGCTCCTCCTCCTTCCTTTCCTCCTCCTCCTCCTCCTCCTCCGCCCTCTCTCCTCCTCCTCCTCCTCCCCCTCCTCCCCCTCCCCTCCTCCTCCTCCCTCTCCTCCTCCTCCTCCTCCTCCTCCTCCTCCTCCTCCTCCTCCTCCCCTCCTCCTCCCTTCTCCTCCTCCCCCTCCTTCCTCCCCCTCCTCTCCTCCTCCTCCTCCTCCTCCTCCCTCCTCCTCCTCCTCCCCCCCTCCTCCTCCTCCTCCCTCCCCCTCCTCCTCTCCTCCCCTCCTCCTCCTCCTCTCCTCCTCCTCCTCCTCCCCCCCCCTCCTCCCCCTCCTCCTCCTCCTGCTCCCTCCTCCTCCTCCTCCTCCTCCTCCTCCTCCTCCCTCCTCCTGCGCAGGTGCTCGGCGCGGGCGGCTTCTCGCGCGTGCAGTCCGCTCGCCGCCGCGCCGACCGGGCGCGCCTGGCGGTGAAGGTCGTGCCGCTGGGCGCCCGCCCGGCGGCCCCCCGCGCGCCGAGCGGCCCGCGCGGGCCCGCGGAGCGCTGGCTCCCGGCGAGCCTGGGCGGCGGGAGGCCCGGCAGGCGCAAGCAGGACCCGGGCATCCAGCGGCCCAGAGATCTCGAGCTTGGCCGAGCGCGTTCCACTTTGGACGCCCGAGATGGGCACGGAAAGAATGGGTACAATGCCCAACAGCAGTTCCTGCTCATTCTGAACAGGGCTCGCTGTCCGCGCCGCCGCGGCCTGTGTCCATCTGAGACAGAAGGCCGCCTGCCCAACGGCGGCCGCTGTCGGTTTGGGACAACATTTGTTGTTGAGCATTGTACCCATTATTTCCGTACCCATTTCGGGCGTCCAAGCCGAGCGCGTTCCACCAATCGCAAGGTGCCTCGCCGAGCGCGTGCCACTACGAGGTATTCCTCCTCATTGTCATGCATCGTGGAATCCCCCGCCGCGGATCCAGGCCAGGTGCGAGTAGTTGATTTGCGAATCGTCGGACGCGCCTGTCCAGAGCTGGCAGCCCAGCCATAGTCGAAGAAGGACAAACGCCATTAACATACACTTTTGGGGCCCCGCGCGGATTTCTTGGATCCTCGCTGGGGACCCCCTTTCAGCGCCTCCGGCGCCGCCCATGGCGCGCTCCGCGCGCCAGGGAGTCCTGCGCGGATCCACGGAGTCCGCGCGGAGCGCCAAAAGTTCATGTGTATGACGTTTTGTCTTCTCCTACATATGCTGCCGGCGTCTTGGAAAAATCGGGGCGGGATTTGTTTTGAGTTTTTGTTCAGCCTTTGGTGGCCCTCGTCCCAGGGGAGGTCCGTTGGAGTAGCGTTCTGTCGGGCATGCCCCCCTACAGGGAGATTTGGGAGGAAAAACGAAAGATATTCAAAACATGTCAAAAGAAAGATCGCCAACCCGCATTACTTTGTTGTACCGCATGTTTTAAACAGGTCTCTCCTGTAGAGGGACAGGCCCGACTTAAGAGTAGCGTTATGCCGGGCGTGTCCCCCTACAGGGAGATTTTCGACGCAAATTAAAGAAAACCCCAAAAATGCCCCAAGAAGGTGAAAAAGTATCCAAAAGATAGTCCCCAGACTATTCTTGGACTATTTTTTGATTATCTTAGTGGTATTTTTTATTTTTCGTCGAAGATCCCCCTGTAGAGGGATAGGCCGGACTTGAGAGTAGCGGCATCGGTACTTCTTGCTTCTCCCAAGCGTGCGGCTCGTGCTGCGAGGCCGGCTCCCCGCACCGCACTGCGGGGGGCCCGGGGGGTCTCGCGAGAGAGCCGGGGGCCCCAGACAGGGGGGCTCTGATAGACCAAGACGTCGGCGCGCCCGGGACAGATGCAGACATGATCGCGACGTAAACAAATCAGGACGGGAAGTTTTTCAGGAGGGGAAAAAAACACACAGACACAATGAATCGTCGACTCCCTTGAAAATATGGGAAAATATGGGAAGTGGGGGGGGAAGACAGAAACCCAGAAAACATGGGAAAATATGGGTGATCCTTTTATTTGTGTGTATTTCTTAGTGCGTCCCAGGGCCCCTTCAGTCTTGGGCCATTTTTTTGCCCTCGGGGGGCCCACGCGGGACTTCGGGACCGGCAAAAAACGATTCAGGACGAAAAACCGGTCCCTCCTCCTCCTCCTCCTCCTCCTCCTCCTCCGCCTCCTCCTCCTCCTCCTCCTCCTCCTCCTCCTCCTCCTCCTCCTCCTCTCTTCCCCTCCCTCATACCATGCGTTTGGCGGTCCTGGGGCCGGGGCTAAGTCGTTCCAGGGCCCCCTGGAACGCCCCTTAGAGCCCTCTGCAAGGAAAGAATCGGAACTTCCAGCGACGCCGGCCTGAAAAAATCAGGACGTCGCACGTCTGGGAACAATTTTCCATGCTCGACTGACTACGCGTAGGAGCGACTCGCCGGAGTGACCCTTCGTGCGGGCCGCCAGGGGTCCCATGACCGCTGAAGGCGATGCGGTAGTTAGCGTCCTGCGCGCTTGTGTTTGGTCCCCAACGGCCTCAAAAATATCGCGCACCAAAGGTCACCAACGCTTACCCAGGATCACACTTGCGTGTGGCCGACAGATTCCTTCCCTCCAGGTGGAATTGTCCGAGTCCTGGTTGGCAGCGTCCTGGTTTGGGGGGCCCTGAGAAAGTCTGGCCGCCCAATGCCTGGTGGCAAGGACGCGCACTTGGAGGAGGTCATCGGCGAGCTCGCCGCCTGGTCCGCCGTCAATGGCCACAAGCACGTGGTCGGCTTCGTCTCGGCGATGGTGGAGGGCAACCGCGTCTTCATGGTAATGGAGAGGTTCGAACGAGAACGAGCGCTCAGCTGGCCCTGGAAGCGACATTGCCGTTCTCTTGCCGGTTCCGTTTTGCCGTTTTGTTGCCAGTTCCGACGCCGTTGTTTTGTCGGTTCTTTCGTCGTTGCTCCCCCAGGTTCTGCTCTGGCTCCAATCCCAGAGCCGTTGTTTTGCTGGTTCCGCTCGCCGTTTTTCTGCCGTTCCCATTTTCAAGACACACTGTTTAGAAACGGTGAAGAAACAGCCCTGCCTTTCTCTGGGGCCCACTATAAGAACAAACGTCATGAACATACACGTTCTTAGGTCCTTGCGGATCTCTCTGGTCGGCGCCGGACCCCCTCCCCCAGCGCCTTCTTCCGCCGCCACTGGCACGCTCTGCGCGCCGGGGGTCAACGCCGATCCAAGATACCCGCGCGGACCACCGAATGTTTGTTTTTACGTTGATGGGGTCTTCTAGAGGTGTGAGACCAGCATCATCCACAAGGTCTCCAATTCGCCAGGCTTCTGGGTGGTGGAGTCCCGGCGCGTGATGAAGGAGATGCTCCTTGGTGTACAGGCGTTCGGACAAGAACAATTTGTATTTACACGTCGTTTCGACGGTCCACGCAGATTTCTTGAATCTGCGCTGGAACCCCCTGGCCTTGCTCTGGCGCGCTTCGCGCGCCAGGGTGGGGGATCTAGCACAGATCTAGAATTCCAAGCGGACCTGCGAAAGTTCATGTTTCTGCAGTGTTCTCTTCCTCCAGGCGTGCCATCTGGTTGACATCGTTCACAGAGATATCAAGCCACAGAACTATCTGCTAGCCGCCGACGGCAGCACCGTGAAACTGTGCGACTTCGGGCTGGCTGCCAGGATGCCCTGCCCTGGGCAGCTGCTGGGGCTGGCCGGCACCATCCCCTACATGTCCCCCGAGATGTTGAGGCAGAGCTCCAGAAGACCACACGCGCCCAGACACATCCAACGATCGGTTTCCCCGAATCCGCTGCCCCAGAGGTTCCGGCTTCTGCCCTGACGGGGGAGTTTTGCACCCCCCCGACCAGCATCCCAGGGCCCGGTAACGGGCCCCAGGAGACTCGAAGAAGAGAAAACGCCATACACAGAAATTGTTGGTGCTCCGAGCGAGCACACAGGGAAGGAGCACCACGCCGCATCGCCGGTGCGTAGGTGATGCGGCTCGATGTGGAGCCCACTTTTCGGGGGCCATATCTGAACCCTACCCCTACCCCCCACGATTTCCGAGGGGGAGGGTGGGGTTCACTTCGCGAGAACCCCACCCTCCCCCTCGGAAATCGTGGGGGGTAGGGGTAGGGCTCACATGTGGCCCCCTAACGTTTCTCTAAACCGACGGCGCCGAGAAAAAAATGCATAAACGTACATGTTTGACGCTCCGCGCGGAGTTCTTGGGTCCGTGCTGGGCCGCCCCGGCGGCGCCGTCGGCGCCGTGCCCATGGCGCGCTCCGCGCGCCAGGGCGGGAGGTCCCGCACAGAGCTAAAAAATACCCTAAAAATAGTCAAAACATCGTCCCCAGACTATTTGTTCCCTACCTAGGCTCTGCCTAAAGGGGTTCTTACACGGAAGCTTAAAGGGCCGGGCAGTGGAACGCGCCCCGGGCGGTTCCCCCCGTATGCGCCCCGCGGTTCCCCCAGTTACGTCCCCTTAGCTTAGCGTTGCTCATCTCATCTTAGCTTAACCTAGCTTGCCTTAGCTTAGCTTAGATTATCTTAGCCTAGCCTAGCTTAGCGTAGCGTAGCTTAGCTTAGCTTAGGTTACCTTAGCTTAGTTTAGCTTAGCTTGGCTTGGTTCAGCTTAGCATAGCTTAGCTTAGCCTAGCCTAGCTTAGCTTCGCTTCGCTTAGTTGAGCATAGCATAGCTTAGCTGACCTTAGCTTAGCTTAGCGCAGCGCAGCATTAGCACAGCATAGCATAGCATCGCAACGCATATCATACCATAGCATAGCGCAGTATAGCATATCATAGCATCTCGTAACATTTATTAGCATAGCACAGCGCAGCATATCATATTACAGTGCACTGCATCATAGCATCGTATATCATAGCATCGCATCGCATAGCGCAGCATATCATAGCATGTCATAGCATAGCGTAGCATAACGTATCATATCATAGCCTAGCACAGCATAGCATAGCGCAGCATATCATAGCATAACATAGCATAGCATAGCGCATCATAGCATAGCATAGCATAGCATAGCCTAGCATAACGGAGCGCAGCCGAGCGTACCCTAACATGTAGATGTGAGTATCGCTGTTGATGTTGATGCAGATGTAGATGCAGGTGTAGATGTTAGTGTAGCTGTCGGTGTAGATGTAGATGTTGCTTTCCTAGATGTTCCAACTCCTAGGTAGGGTCGCACTGGGATACTTACTATGTTTGAATATTCCCCCTGTAGATGGACCGGCCCGACTTAAATTCAAGGCATCCGCGCGGACCGACGGAAGTTTCTGGTTCTGCCTTTTTTTGTTGTGGGGGCAGAAGTCGAGCAGAAGCGCTCGGATTCAGCAGACGTGTCGCCGGACATCGGGGGATCTGCAGCAATAGTCCAGACGCCTGCGGCTGGTCTCTCCGCCTGCGCCGGCCGAGGTGGGAGGAGGAGGAGGAGGAGGAGGAGGAGGAGGAGGAGGAGGAGGAGGAGAAAAGAAGGATGAGGAGGAGGATGAGGAGCAGAGGGAGGAGGAGGAGGAGGAGGAGGAGGAGGAGGAGGAGGAGGAGGTGGAGGAGAAGGAGCAGGGAGGAGCAGGAGGAGGAGGAGAAGAGGAGGAGGAGGAGGAGGAGGAGGAGGAGGAGCAGGAGCAGGCAGGACGAGGAGCAGGGAGGACGAGGTGGAGGGGGGGGGAAGGAGTAGCCGGTCCCCTCCGCTCCCACGGCATGCATGAGAAATAAGAAGCTGGCCCCCCCCTGAACCGGGCCCCCCTGACGCTGCCCCTCACGGTCGGCGCTGGCACGCTCCGCGCGCCGGGGAGGGGCGTCCGTCAAGCAGTGGCGAAGCTTCCTGCCTCGACTATAGTCAGGAGGGAAAGAAACACACAGACACAATTAATCGTCGACTCCCAGGAAAATATGGGAAAATATGGGAAGTAGGGGGGAAGACAGAAACCCAGAAAATATGGGAAAATATGGGGAATATTTTTATTTGTGTGTATTTATTTCTGTGTCCTGGGGCCCCTTCATGTAGGCCTACCAAAGAATGTTCTAAGAACTTGTTGTGGTTTCCACGGGATGATCTTAGCACAGGTCTGCCTGGGACTGTGGTGTTCTAACACATCGGGCTCATGTTCTAAGAACGTCGTTTTTGTTCTTAGGACATGTCTGGGTTCTGAGAGCATGTCGTGGTAGGCCTATAGGAATGGCGGGATGGTCGGGCCCTGCTCAAGTCAGGCCGCCTGGCCCCTGGGTCTGGCGCCAGCAGGGGAGCCGCCGCGCGGGCATTTGATGTGTGTGCGTTCTGCGTGCTGCCTTCTGGCGCTCCTCGGGCGACAGGGGCTCCGGGTACGGCAAGGCCACGGACATGTGGTCGTACGGGGTAGCCGGGGCGTGGAAGTTCCAGGCCTCCCAGATGGGGCCCGAGCGAGCACACAGGGTCGGAGCATCGCGCCGCATCGCCGGTGCGTAGGTGATGCGGCTCGATGTGGCGCCCACTTTTCTCTGAACCGATGGCGCCGAGAAGCTATCTGCATTAACATAAACTTTTGACGGTCCGTGTGGATTTCTTGGATCTGCGCTGGACCCCTGGCGCCTTTGGCGCCGCCCGGGGGGCCCAGCGCGGATCCAAGGAATTCGCGCGGCGCGCCAACAGTTAATGAAAATGGCATTTTTATGTTTCGAAGCGAGATGGCGGGCTGATGG